TAACATGCTCTCCCAATTTTGTCACAGTAAGCCCTTCAAGATGTCACCTTATTTTCTGTCAGAGGCCTGCACATGTCAGTAAAGTAACTCGGCATTAGACGTAGAAGGCTGCAAAAGGCAGGAACGGGAAGAGCTTTAAAATTTACCAGTAGCAGCGAGGATAACTCTGACCTGTCTCCTTCTGGGGCAAAGTTGCACCAAGGCCCTTTTGCCATGCTGTGGGACGACCCCCCTGCTCGTATCCACGACTGGTACCGTCATCCCAAATTCATGCCTAGAAAACCTTCACAGCACCACTTGCTGTTGCCTGGTTTGCCCTGTAAAACACCTGCACAAGGCACGGCCGCGAGGATTTGTATTTGCTCAGGCTCCCTCTCGCTGCAGGGATGGGATGCACAGGGGGAGTTTTCCACTCCTGCAAGGTGAGGGGTTCAACCTGCAAAGGCCTTGGCTCTCTTCAGAGCCTTCGGGTAGGGATTGTGAAAGCAGAAATGCGTGAATTACACCTCGCGGACTCCCTGCAGACTGGGGAGTAGTTTGCTTTACAGAAGAGAAAGGCCACATGTCCGATGGGGGAGTAAATCACTTGTACCGCTGGCTTGGCAGCCTGGGCTGCCAGCTCTCGGGTACCCTGTGAGCCCGAGCGTAAAAACTCCCAGAAAGAGCAGCCGGGCCGGGGTGGTATTTCGGAGCTCGTCAGACGGAGGATGGCTGTGGCCGGAGCAGAGCTCCCTGCTCGGACCGCAGCCGGGTCCGGGAAGGCTTTTCCACCAGGTGTCAGTCGAGGAGCTCTTTGGGAGCAGCAGCCTCTGCCCAGAGCGGGCAGAGCAAGGCACTGATCCCGGCTGCCTTCAAAACTCACGCCGGGGGGGCTGTGGAACCGTCTGATTGAGAGAAGAATCGAGCGAGGAGCTGTCTCAAAAGGAGGGCTGAGTCTGGGCGCATTCCTGCTTTACACATATTTTTAGCTCACCGTTTTACAAAAGCAAATGCCTTACACAACCGGAGAGGAGGTGCCTGCTGTTGCTCAGGAAAAGTATCTTTCTGATCTTTTCAGCTCAGCCCTGAAAAGTCAATGCAAGTTGGAACAAAGGTAGGTGCTACCAGAAGAAAGCGATGCAAGCCAAACAAGCAAATGAGCCTCCTGGCCTTGGAAAAGAGCGTAACTCTGCTAGAGCGTGGGCTGGGAGGGTCTGCCCATCCTGCCAAGAACACCTCATGCCTGCACCGCGGGGAAACATCAATGCATTGGAAGAGTCAGAAACGCATTTCAGATTGTCAGAAAAAACATCCAAACCCTCAAATGTTTTACCTTCGACTATTCCCAGTCCCGTACGCTGTTCTGCCTCTGGTCAAAGGGTGCGGGCTTCCCATTAATGAAAGGCTATCATTAGCACTAATGAGAGATACGCGCCTGTATCAGCAGGAGGGTGCTCTCCTCTCTCCCCCAGCGCTGCGCTGGGCTCGCTGTGGTTAGCAGTGCTGGCTTGGCGGCTGTTCATCCCCGCAGGCAGTGGTAGGAGCTTCCACAACACCTGACCGGAGATCCAGTCTGGGCCTGCAGGACCCCGTCCAAGACCAGAGCGGTCCTAGACCTGGAGGCCTTTAGCTGCTGGTCTTTAATTCCCAGGCAGGCTACCTGCTCACAGCACAGCCGTGCTCCCTGGAAGCAAACCAAGAGCCTGGGGAAGTCCTCTGCTTTATCCTTTACCACATCGCAGGGCAGTGGGTTTTGGCCACCAGCAGGTGCCTGGAGAGGAGCACCTGGCCCTCATTCTCACGCTCTTCAATGGAAAGTCCCATCAGGTGTGGGAAGGAGCATCCATGCCTTGCCAGAGCTGGACCCTCCCAGAGACCCTGATGGCTCATCATATATTTGTTTCTTTGCATAACACGAAACACACTCCTCTTGGCTGCCCATGAGCTGACAGTGGATGGGGTGAGACACCAGCCTTGCTCTGGGATGTTAGTGGGCTGAATGTCAGAGGAGATGCGTTGTGTAGATGCCGGGGCTCCTTGAGCAATATCACTGCTCTCTTGTCCCAGGACACCACTTTCCAAACACGTTGTCAGACAGAGCACGCCTAAAAAGCTGGTTTCCCTCCCAGGACCCCTGGGCTCTGACAACAGAGAGTGCAGCACGTTCAGGAGGGGAGAGCACCGGAGCTGGTAGAGGCCTCCTGCCATGTGGGCGTCTCCGTTGGCTCTGCTTGTGCCGGTCTGCAGGCCCCGGCGTGCCCGGGATGGCTCAGCCCAGCGCGAGGGAGAAGGTGCCCCAGCAGCCTGGCCAAGGCTTCAAAGGCTGTGGGGTGACTCCTCAGCCACCCTGAGCTTTGCAAGCCCAACCGCAGGTTCTGCCACTGGCAGCTGGCATCTGCGGGCATCGATCTTCTAGTGCCAGAAAGGTGGATGATGGCATCACCTAACGTCCCCTGTCTGCCACAGCACTTTGAGATCCCAGCACGGAGGGGCATCCCAGACCAAACATCCCAAAGTGCGTTATCTCCTGGTGCATTTTCAACACCAGAGTGAGCTCTCCAGGAACAAGATGATAGCTCACCGTGGCTTGGACAAGATGGATAAGGCCCCGGAGGAGCAGATGCACATTCTGTTTCGCTTTGACAGCTTAAATGTCATAACGCCATTGCAAATCCGACCATGGCATACGTTATCTTACAGTGTTTATTCATATCACCCCAAAAGCACTGGCAATAAAATTAAATATTTCATAAGGTTGTTATTTGGCTGCTGTGCTACAGGAACCAAGTGCAGCCCCCTCCCACAAACCTCTTGCCGCAAGATGTAACAGGGGTGGTGAGGGTGGGAGGCCTGAGCAGCGAGGGGGGCTGCCCCGTTCCCTGCCCACACCTTGACAGGGTCTCTGTCCTTCTCCCTGAAGCCCTGCCTGTGTCTCCAGCCCCATAGCAAGGAGCTTCCTTTCCCACCTGGATTCCCAGGGAGGGGGTGTGGGAAATGATAGGACCAGTGCAAATTTCTCCAAGGTGTTGGAGAAATGGGAGCTGGGCTTCTGGGGAAGAACCGGTTCATCTCTGACTGGGGCAGAGAGCTGTGCTCACATACCTTTATTTCCATGCCCCTACCGCCCTGCTTGGCAGGTATTTTCGCTGCTGACCCTCAAAAGCAGAGGTTGCTGCCTCAAGACCCTCACGCACCCCTGGAAGAGCCGGCAAACACATTGATCTCCCTGGGTAGGAGCACTGGGACCGTTGTTACAAAACCAGTTTTTCAGAGATTTCTGGCTTGGGTGCAAATGCAACAAGTGGTCCCTGGGGCGGAGACCTGGCCCAGACCGACAGCAAATGCTCCCCGTAGCTGGGGGGTGAGGGGGCAGGTCTCTCGTTGAGGACCTCAGCATGATTGTGTCCCTCTCTTAGCAAACACGAAGGACGTTTGGCAGAGCAAAACATGAGCACAGCTGGATGTGCACATGATCCTTAAACTGCGAGGCTAAAGAGCCTCCAGAGAGGAGGCTGCTGTGGAGAGCCGCGTTTGAGCACCCTGTGTTTAGATGACCCCCAGCAATTGCTCTGGCCATGCTGAACCAGTAACAGAACGAGGCAGCTGCTGGGACAGCGTGTGTACAGCACCCAGTGTGACAGTCCTCGGCCCTGCCTGGGACCTTGTGACAGCAGGTTAAAGCAAATAATTGTTCGTCATCATCACTGGTGGCTTAACGGCTGCCTCCTGCCCCTGGGAGGCCCATGGGTTTAGCTTGCCCTCACCACCAGGCGGGTGAAAACGCTCTTAGCAAAGCTGTACGGAGGGGATGGGGCAGTGAAGGACTCGGGCAGCTCTCAGGCGTCTTGCAAGGACTGTTCGGGTGCTTGCAGGGCTCTGAGCGTGTTGCTGGGCAGGACCCGAGGGCTGGGAAGGTGCTGCTTGTGCTGCCAACGGAGAGGGTGCCAGGGTGGAGGAGCTGCTGGGGGCTGCACAAAGCCCGGGGGAGAGGAACAGTCAGAGCTCGCCTTTGGCATGGACACACATCCCCCAACAGCAGTCACAGCCACTCAGTCTTGTCTGCTGCAAGGCCCCTTGTCCCCTTCCTGGGCACTGCTGGGCTGGGGGGGTGAGAAGCCCCGACCTGAACCCCTGGCAGCCCTGCAGCCCCCCCAGGCTTGGGCTTCCCCGGCCCCCTGCCCCAGCCTACCGCGTTGCCACGAGCCCAGTTTGCCCGGCGTGTTCGGTGGCAGCAGGGCAGCTTTGCCTTTTGTTTTTCCTTCCCTTTGTCTGTCAGTGTTGCAGGTTTCCCCTGCTCTGTCTCATTTTTGGGTGGAAACATGGCTTCCCTCTGAGCTGCCGCCGGGGAGCATCCTCCTGCTCACCCCACAGTCCTGTGTGCAGGCCGGCTCGTGGCCCTTCCTGCCTGGATTTTGCACAGTTTCACCTCTTTCTGATGAATAAAGACTCGGCATTATACGGACTAGACGAGCAAGGGATGTTAAGAATGAACTGGAACATAACTGCAAAATACAGCATGTCCAATCCAATTTTTCCTAGCAAATGAAATGGATGTGGTGGAAAATAAATATAGAACTTTCAGGAGCAGCATCCTTGAACAGTGTTTGGGGGGGGGATGAAGAGATTTTAATAGATCAGCCCTTTACACCTCTGCACATCCCTCCTCCCTCCCTTAAATGCCATCTTTAATAGAAATAAATTAGAATAAATGATCAGCCCTTGCCTCCTAAAGACAGGTGGCAGGGTAATATTAAAAGAAATGAATAAAAATTCATTTAATGAGCATTGTTAATTAAACCTGGAAATCAAAGAGGTCTGAGTTGTGGGAATTCAGAGGAAAAATGAAAATGAAGGGAGCTGTAGCTCGGGGCAGGAAGAGTGGAATTAAATTAAATGCAATGTGGGATTGTGTTTGTTAATGTCTATCACACATCACGGTGTGTTACAGTTGGGGGTAAAGGGTTTGTTCTCTGCTCGCACACAAATTACACGCCGCCACCAATGGAAACTCCTGCGCAGCAATGGGCAGCCCGCTCCCGGCGGGTGGCACGGTGAGACCGCGGGGACCCCGCGGGGACAAGGCCGCCCCGGAGACCGGCCACGGCGCCCGTGGTTCACGGCGCCCGTGGGCCGCGCGGGGCGTGCGCGAGTCTGCGCGTGTGTCCGTGGGTGTCCGAGTGCCGCGAGTGCGTGTCGGGCTGTGCGTGTGCCTGTGCTGGTGTGCATCCCCGGGCATCACTGCGCGGGTGCATCACTGCACCGGCGTGGGCGTGGGCGTGTGCAGCCGCCTGCGTGGGCGTGTTACCGGTGTGGGGGTCAATGCGGATCACTCTGTGCCGCTGGCAG